AAAGTACTTGTGACAAGAGGAAAATGATGGGGAACAATGAAGGCAGCAGTCACTTTATACACAGCACCTGTAGTTTGTATCGGCTGGAAGGTCTCAAGCTGAAGCACCTGAATGGCCATGTAGGACCATTGGACTGGGTCTTGGCAGACCTGGGTCAGTTCCTGGCTCTGCAACAGATTTTCTGCTGTGGGCAGTGCCTAGTTCAGAGAGCGCCACAGCTGTTTTAAAGGAAGCTCTCCTGTAGAAACAGACCCACTTGAAAACAATAAAGCCTGCCTATTTCACAGCCTTCTCCTGTCTTGGATTTAAAGCTGGAGACCTTGACCCAGCTAGACCAAGCACAATATGTACTGCAAGTGGGTGTTTTACTTCTGGCTTTTTCTCTTATCTTCGTCCTCTTTACACCATAGAATCAGAGAAATTAGAGCTAGGGAACATATCTAACGTTATCAAGTCTGTCCTCCCAGTGCTGAACGCAAGAGTATTCCCTATAGTATACTTTCTAGTGCTCTGTCCAGTCAAGATTTAAATGACCCATCTGATGGGGTGCCCCATGGGAATCTGTTCTGCAGTCTAATAGATTATGATTGACAAAAGGGTCCTACGGTTAGCATCCCCCGGGAGAGAACAAGAGGATTACTCAATTTGACGGTTTATATCCAAAGGAGAATGGATGTTAATTTAAAACCATTATTTTAAAAAATATTGAAAGTGATTTTAGTGCTCCTGAGGTCTGCCAGATTGACAGCCCTGGAGAGCAATTTTTCTGTCCCCAGAACAGGAACAACAGGGAAAAGTTCACCCCACACAGTGTCCACCACCTGCCAATCTGCCTCATCCCAGACTGGGAGTGATCACCTCTAGGGGTGAACTCACTCTTCATGTCCATTCAGATTCTTGGCTTTGCTGCTGAGATGTCCATCAAATTAGGCCGACTGGTACTGATTTGGGCGTAGGGACCATTTGTCGTGTAGACAGCCAATCGCCAGAGACAGGACTGAGGTCCGCCAACTCATTTTACATAGGTCACTTAACAGCTGTCAGATGATAGTGACTTTTGATTTCTAATGACCTGATTCCTGATTAGCACCTGTAAACCTCTGTATTTCATAATCCTGTGAGCCATCTAGATCCTTCAACCTCCTCCTCACAAAAATGAGTCCTTTCAGGGACACAGTCTAGCTCCAGTTGTAATTAGACAGGGGGAGGTATAGCTCAGTGGTTTGAGAATTAGCCCAAAAATATAAATATTTGCAAAACTAGCTAATGTGGATCTCTTAAATGTTTTTACAATGTTCCATAAATGCTCTCTCCAATGATGTATTACACATCTTATATTGAAAAGTCAGTTTACAAAACAAGACAACATTATAAATGTATCTGTAACACTTTTTGGTGCCAAGTGTAACAATTGGTGCCAAAACTTTTTGTTTTATATTTCCTGACGGTTAAAAAAAAAATCCCTCTTTAACTTTAAAGTTGCATGTGCAGAGTTTTTTGCAATGAATTTCCTAGGTTTATTTTTGAGAAGATAAAAGAAAAGAATGTGTGCTCTGTTCTAAGAGTTGCCATGCATCAGCCTATGTATATCTAAAATCCTATGTGCTACGGGTAGAATGTCATGGTCAAAATCAACTCTTAAAACATGAAATCAAGAGTGACGAAGCTCACAGCTGCACTCCAGAGCAAGATCTCTGCTGCAGCCACTCTATCTGAGAAGATTTTATAGATCTCTGATGTGTAAAATGATTTTTTATCATCATAGATTGAGTCATCGGCAGAGAGGAATTCAAGTATATTGTTTTTGACATTTTTTTTCTGACATTGTTACACTTTGACATTTCTCTATCCCAACTTGTTTTCCTACTCACTGACCCACAATATCATAACAGTCTGTATCAAGGGCTGCAACTAGCCTCAAATTTTGTGCTCTGTTGAGCCTTCACTTCGATTTAGTTTAGTGAGCTGTCAAGCACCTACCTTTAAAAATCAGAAAGCATTAGAGACCCATCACTGGAATCCTGATGACTGGGAAATCATGACTGGGGCACAAGGCAGGATTCTGTATGACTGCTATTGCATTATTCAAGAGAATAATAAATAAAAAGTTTTTGCCCTTGGGATCCTCCCATCTCCTCTCTGCCTCTAAGAAGTGTAGATGTGTAAGCCTCTGGCCACCAACCTACCCAGTTGCTAGTCAGACAAGAACTTAATAGAACTGGGCTGCGAGAGGAAGGGGTTGTCTTAACTCCCATAACTGCTGAGCTGTCTGGTATCTGTTACCCTCTGAGTGCATTCAGCTGAGTTTTGGGGTGTTGTAAAAGCTCAGTCCAACCTAAGCGTGCTGCTTTAAAAGACAGCCGTGCAAAGGGCAGTGTGTTGAAGTAATAAAACCCCAGAAGACATATCTGATTCTGCAGATCCATGATATGAGTGCACGTGGAGCTACCAGACGTTCTGGTGTTGCAGCTGTTTGGCATCAGTTTTGAAAAGAGCATCCATTCAAGGTGTGCAGAAAGCGCTGCAGCAATGCAAGGGTTAAGGCCTGATGCCTACCCATCTGTAGAATGGCATAAAATAGAGTGCATCCTGGAGAACTGATGATCACACATTCCCCTGCAGTGACAAAAAGGAGATTTGGCAGCATGAGATGTCTTTGTACTGGAACACCTGCTTGCCCAGTGCTAGATGATCTTCTAGTGCAGTGGTTCTCAAAGCCGGTCCGCCGCTTGTTCAGGGAAAGCCCCTGGCAAGCCGGGCCGGTTTGTTTACCTGCCACGTCTGCAGGTTCGTGGCTCCAACTGGCCACGGTTCACCGCTCCAGGCCAATGGGGGCTGTGGGAAGGGTGGCCAGCACATCCCTTGGCCCGCGCTGCTTCCCGCCACCCCCATTGACCTGGAGCGGTGAACCGCGGCCAGTGGGAGCCGCGATCGGCCGAACCTGCCGACACGGCAGGTAAACAAACTGGCCCGACCCACCAGGGGCTTTCCCTGAACAAACGGCGGACCAGCTTTGAGAACCACTGTTCTAGTGGACCCTTCTGGCCTTAAACTCTGTGAACGTATCCAAGGCCAACACTGTGGCATCAGGAGAGTTGTCTTTCTCCTAGCCTGTTGCCAGTAGACAGCTGGGCTGCACAGACAGGTGTGAGGTACACCATGACTTTTTGATAGGCTGCTCTGTCTTTTGTAAGTAAACCTGAAAGAAAAGCCATGAGGCAGGTCATGGAAAGTGAGCATGTCTCAAGCCTCTCCTGGAGGCCATGAGGAAGGTTTAACGGTTTGAATGCACCTGAAGCACAATCGCTGTGTGTTAGGGTTACCGCAGCAACTGTATCATACCGTAGTGCATCATAGCCAGAGTCCCCTGAGAAATTTCAGACTTTTTCAAGCATGCTGTTACAATTGTTCTGTGACATTTGAACCGACCTGTCAGCAACCAGCACATCATTATAAATGCAGCCAGCCCACCATGTGGAAGAAAGAGTGGATGGGTAAGTCGGCCATATGCAGCTCCTGTGCTAAGCGAGCAAAGCTGGATCAAGTTACAGGAGAATCAGAGACTGGTTTGTTAATGACATCTCCAAAAATTATACATGCCTGTGCACGGGTGCCTCTGTTTTTGGGTCCCCCAACTTGAGATATCCAAAAGGCATGTGATTGTCTGAAAGCACTGCATAATCCTTAGAAAGCCCTTAGAAAATCAGGTCTCTAAGATATCTTCATGGCTGGGCTCCCAAGAATTGAGGCTTCTCGTCACTTTTGAAAATTGGTAATGGTCAGTGCTATAGTTAGAGGGGGCAGCTTATTCCATTTGGCTTAAAAATACCAAATACCTAGAGATAGACAATGTTCTCCCTTCAGTCTGACTGGATCAAGGGGAAACCAGAGCTCTCTAATTTTCACCCATTTCTGTCATGCCTCCCAGCAATCCTGGTGGGAATCTCTCTTGTGACATCAGCAAGAATCTGTGGTGACCTCCCAGCTTACTGGATTGTTGACCATTATCCACTGGTAAAAATGGGGGTGGGGGCATTTAAACTCTCTGCTCTCCTGCTGTGGTACCTGCCCAACTCTTTGTAAGTCAGATACACAGCTACGTGGCTGCTCTCACAGATGAGAGAAGCCCAAGTGCTGGAATGGTTTAGACCAGTGGTTCTCAAAGTTGGACCGCAGCTTGTTCAGGGAAAGCCCCTGGCAGGCCGGGCCGGTTTGTTTACCTGCCCCGTCCGCAGGTCCGGCCGATCGCGGCTCCCACTGGCCGCGGTTCGCTGCTCCAGGCCAATGGAGCTGCAGGAAGCAGTACAGGCCGAGGGATGTGCTGGCCGCTGAATAGAAGGCAGCGGGTAGTGCAGAGAGTCTAGTCTGGACTCTGAAAAGGCTGGGAATTGCAGAATCACTGCATCCATCATATACAATAATTAAGCCTTCCCCAGCCTTTAGAATTCCCAAAATAAAGTCATTTTAAGAGTGTGTCATCAAAGAATCTCACTCTCCACATCCTATAAATACTTTGGCCCTGCCTGAACCTGGGGCATCATTTGCTCTGGGACAAAAGGGGCAGTTGTTCCCTCCCTTCAACCTGGCTTTCTCCCCCCCAAAACTTTTCATAGGTCTACGTGCTCCATGTTTTGCCCCCTGCAGACTTTGCAGGATATAATCTAATCACATATAACGTTCTATATGCTGACACAACTCCACTCCCCCATCCCAGAAACTTTCTGAAATGACGCCCGGGTCTTAACGTTTCTGTCCTGTAGCTCTGCCATCAGGCCAGCCAGATTTGTACATGCTTTTAAATTGCATATACATGTGCTGTAAATGTAGCCATGTATCGTAGCGTAACAGCTGGAGACCGTTCTGCTGTGACAACATTGCTCTTCTCCATTTCGTATGAACTTTAATTTCCCGACCCACGTGCATCCCCGGTTCCACGCAAAGCTGCTCTCTAATCTTGCTTCGGTTACTGGAAATGACTGAAACACGAAACAGAGGCTCACCAAAGATGTGTGTCATGCTGAGGAGATCGAGCCCATGTTGTTCGGAATCTGCCTTGCATTTTGGGGTCTTTTTCTCACATACCTGTCCGCTGCCAAGTTGAGACAGCACTTATGGATGCAGTTACTGGGATTATTCATTACCGGGAGTGCTCACTGTTTTACATCTTCGGTTAGAGCTGAATGTTTCGTCAGTATGGAGGTGGGGCTGAGATAAATCCTGATATGGCTGCTGGCAGCAGCTTAACACGCCTGGTGCACGCATGCCATCTGAACAGGGTAGAGGGCATCCTTTTGGGCCAGGTTATTTTTGGAGGTTGCAAATCCTGCCTCTTCCATGTGCTGTGCTATTTTTAAACAGGAATGCTGCCTAGCGTGGCTCCTAGATGGGATTTCCACCATTCCCGTATTATTGTTTGGTTGAAAGCATGTGGGGCATTACAGAACAATAGACTCATGCTAATTGCATTGGGTTTCTCAGTGGCAAAGTGGTTACCTTTGAGTTATATGACTTTGTTGTTTTTCTCTCCCTGCCATTATTGCTAGCCGCTCCCCCCCGCCCCCTGCAGGGGGGGCTTAGCTAATCTTGTTTTCAGCAGGGGCTCAGTAAAAGTAAATTCAGGTTAGCAATGACTGAGCAAACCGCACATATTGCTTGAGCCATCACAACATTTACAGTATAATAGAGGCATTAAGCAAGTTAAATCAGAGGGGCTGAATGGGAAAGTTAACAGAGTATTGTGTAGTCCCCATTGGAGGCCTCAGTTACAGGAGTAAGCCTGGCACTTCTGCTCCTCAAGATTAGGGAAGGATGAGGGTGCCATGGGCTGAGGGTGCTCGCTGTCTCCTGAGGGCTAGGGAAAGGGAGGCGGGGCTAACGGAACCGTGCACCCAACTATCTTGCTTTGATCAGCTGTAGAAGCAGTTAAGTTGCAGCCACGTTTCCTCGAAGATATGAGATGGCAGTTCCACCCTCTCAGGTTAAGGGTGAGCTTTGCAGTAGTCAGCATAGAGGACGAAGGCTAAGGGGAGACAGCCAGTACCAAGAGAAAAATGAATGAGCACCTGCTCCTCAGAAGGATGGAGACAAGTGGTGTCACCAACTGAGATCTCTGTGGGACTTGGTTATTGGCTCCCACTAGGCTCCAGCCTCAGATTTGTGTGAGAGGTATCCCAGCTTCAAGGATTTGGGCCTCGATCCTTCTACAGACTGAGTATCCACTCTCTCATTCCAGTCCCCTCCCACGCTGGGTCACCTGGTCCTGACATTGACCAGCCTCGATTGATTGGGTTAAGGCAACATTGTGTGCCAGCAATAGAAATCATGGTGCTCCACTAAGTGCTGAGGAATCACTGCCAGTGTGGAGCAGCAATGACCTGGGCCCAGAAACCGAGCAGTTCATTTCCACCTCAAGGGTCTGCTAGTCCAAGAAATGGTCCCTTCCAAATAGTAGCACATAAAGAGCAACCAAGACTGGGGACCCATTGTGTTAGGCACTATACAAACACAGAGTTTTATTATTTATTATTTGTATTGTGGTAGCAACTAGGAGGCCTAGTTGTGGTCTATTGCGCTAGGTGCTGTACAAACACAAGACAGTCCCTGCTCTGAAGAGCTTACAATCTAACTAGACAAGACCGCCAATGAGAGGGGGAAGGGCTAGGAGAGACAAGCAGAGCGCACAATGCAATGGTAGCAAACGTTGTGTTCATTCCCCAGTATGTTTTATTTTTTTAGTGGGTGAGTTTAGTTAGGAGGGGATCCTGTCAATGGACATTGAAGGGAAAGGGGAAGGGGGACAGGGCAGGGGAGAAGAGGGTAAGGGGGCAGGTGTGGAGTGGAGCTGAGGTGAAGAGACTCTGAGGGGTGAGGAGTGGGAAGGCTGGAGCAAACAGCCAATCTTTCCGGGGCAGAGAAAGTCCAGTCAGAACAGTAGGGAGTTTTCTGAATGTCCAAACATGTGGCTGCTTCTGTTCTGAGTCTCTGGCTGGTTCTGCCCTGCCATTTTCCCTCAAAGCTATGTGATGAGAGTGGGGTCCCTAGTGCCCCCAAAATGGTGGGTTCCCCCTGCACAGTTCTGGGGGAGGGGTGGCCCTGGCTGGACCCCATTTTACCTCCTCCAGCCCAGTGCAACAGACCCTGCTTTGATTGCTTCTGCAGCTGCTCCTACCGGCTGGAGCACCCTCCCGTTTCTGTGCTGCCGCAGCGCAGGGGCCTGGGGCTACTGTAGTTCACACCCCTCTCTACTTTCACCCCCGGCTAGTCTGCAGTCTGCACAGGCAGAGGGATGTAGCAGGAGGGAGAATCCCTCCCAGAGTCTGACTTGATAGAGACTGTACAGGACAGCACTGCTCCTCCGTCTCGGAAGCCGCGTTCGACTGGGAATTCTGCTTGCCCCACTGCTTTGCCCTGTAGGAGAAAAGAAAAACAAAAGGGAATCGCCAAGGCTTTAATGCAGATCCGAGACCCTGCACCCAAGCTCCACAATGAGAACCCCTAACCAGGCATCGCAGCAGCATTCGAGGCTAACCTTGCTTTGGTGATTGTCAGCATTTCTGGGAGTCCCCATTTGGAAACACAGGCCCTTCCTGCGACAGAGCTGGAATCTGCAGCCCTGGGGCAGGTGTTCAGAGCTGGAGAAAGTGGCTTAGTCCCCATCTAGTTCATCCCCCTTTCCCAAGCATCCAATGCAGGATTGCTTCCTATTGCACATTCTCTAGTGGTTCATCCAGTCATTCTTTAACCTAGAGGGTAGAATCCCAGCCCCAACCAATGAATAGATGTTGACGGGGGCTATGAAGGATATGGACCAAGCTGTGTTCGTTTTTCAAGAGTGGTGTGGTGAAACTTAGAGAGATTAAATATTCAGACATTCTTCCTCAGTTGGCTTTCATAATTTTAAAGTAGCGAATGTTCAGCTGTAAGCAATTTGGTCCTTTCTCAGTTCAATAATAACAATAATAAATAGTACCTAGCACTTTTCATAAGCAGATCTACATGCGCTTTACAAAGAAGTATCAGAGGGGTAGCCGTGTTAGTCTGAATCTGTAAAAAGCAACAGAGGGTCCTGTGGCACCTTTGAGACTAACAGAAGTACTGGGAGCATAAGCTTTCGTGGGTAAGAACCTCACTTATTCAGATGCAAGTAATGGAAATCTCCAGAGGCAGGTATATATCAGTGTGGAGATAACGAGGTTATGTGCCCACATATCTACACCAGCAACACCA